ACAGCCATTGGTCTAATGAATGTCGATCATATAATACCGTTGAAAGCACGAAACAACGTGCAGTTGAAAGAAACTTATGCTTCAGGTGTTTAGCAGAGGGACACTTCGCACGACAGTGCGACAGAAATGTTAAATGCTTTCATTGCAAACAAGCTCATAATAGCGCATTTTGTGGAAATCGAATTCAAGTAGAATTGCGTTCAAGCACTGCTCAAACCAACGCTCATGAGATAAGGTCACCAATTATCAGTAATCCATATCCTCCTGAGGAAATTACCACAAGTGAGGCGCTTGCACCAAATCAGGAAATTTCCACAACAGGTACAGTATTGCTCCTGTGCAAATCATCCGCTATTGTAAATCCGAAAAAGCCAGAAAAAAAGAATAATCGTAAATATATTCTTCGATGTCGGTTGTCAACGATCGTTTATTATTGAAAAACTAGCTCGCGACTTGCATTTCGATGTAAGTGATAAATGCGATCTGTCCACAGCGAGCTTCAGGCAACAAAGAACGAAGAAACATAAAAACACTCGAATGGAGCTTGGTGTTCCACTCGATAACGGCCAGCTTATGAAAATCCAAGTTAACGCAATTCCGTTCCTGATGCAAACGATACCGCAAGTACCGTTGTCAAAACGGGTCGCTTATGATTTAATTCACAATTACAAATCTGTCAGCGACATACATCGAGTATTGCAGCATCCGGATGTCATCATCGGCGCTGATTACTTTTACGAATTCGTGGGTCGATCACCTGCACGTCGTCTAACAGGTAGCTTGTTCCTCGTTCAGTCTAGCATCAGACCTATGTTAGTTGGAGAAGCGCCACTCCCAAGCGCACAAGACCATCAACATCAAGTACAGTCTGACGCTATTATTGCTTGTTCTACAGTCGCAAAGATGAACGACTTTCCATCATCGGAAAAACCAGCGTCGGATACTGACGATGAGCTCAAAATCAATCAAATTAATTTGCCGAAGCTACGATCGCGTACGGTTCAAAAACCTCATCTTCAGCTCAAGAATCGATCTCAAATCAAATACAGTTCTCGTGATAGAAATGTTTGGAATTTTGCAACAAAAATCTTCCTTTTTGCAGCGTTGTGCATCGCTACGACAACGTCATTTGCACATGCAAACAATATGAACAGTGTTTTCAAAAGTCGATGCACACCACCTAACAATGAGGGAGCCCTAAAAACTAAAATTCAAGGCTGCGCAAAGAGCATTAAAGGCACAATGCCTACAACCAACGCTATGGCCTATACAATTGAACATATGAACATAGGAGCAATATTTTGCGTAACATTAATGACACTTTTATTGTTTGGAACTATAATGTTGTATGCAGAGTTTTACCATAACGCAGAAAACGGCAACATACAAGAATCGTCACAAAAATACTTGAACCACTGACAACTAATGTAATAACCGCAGGAACAATTATTCAAATGGAGATATTTCAATATGTACTACTATGAATATCGTCATATACTTTAAATTATTGTTCTGTACAAGTTATCAATATTGTAATGTATAATAATCATATCCATTACCGGACCTACATATCATCCGGTTTCATCAATCGTCAGTTAATATTGTTACTCATTTTCAGTACCGGACCTCAATATCATCCGGTTGCATCAATCATTAGTTATAATCATTCCGACTTCGACATTTCAACAATGCCCCCATGCACCCCAACCACGCTAATCGTCAGTCCATATTGTTTCTTTTGCAACACTTCGACAACAATTTTACTACATCATTCGTATTCTGATCTTGTTAATCAATGATGAAGGCGTGCTCGCGAAACAACACAGCTTCGTCGTCCGGGGAGTGTCGCGACGGAGCGCGAAAGAGACGATTCGTGAGCGAAACCAAAGTGATATGTGAAATCAACTATTAAATCTCTACTTTAGCTGTATATGTAAAAGATGTACACAGATATCATGCACTGTCGATTCGGATGTGAAATGTAGCTTTCGTATATCTTACATGGAGGAGCTCCTCCCTTCTGTGTTTGTATGATATGAATGCTTTGTGTTTTAATAATATAAACAGTCTCATTGCAAAATAAACGCCGAAAAAATTGAAATGTTTGCAAGTTGCATCACAATAACTTCATGCCGAGATAGCATTATAAGAACTCTACCGTATCTTCTCGTGAACAATGTTCATACTTTCGAAAAATCTTTACCTAAAGATTATTCAACCACTAATCAAATAGAAACGATGACAACATGTTGACGCAGCTGTTCGAATAATCAAAGGACACTACACATCTCTTCAAACAATTCCATGTTGTAATGTGACATGAACAAGTCAGGAACCTATTCATTAATCCGAGTCATGAATTCAGTTAGATTCACGTAGCGAAGCTTGCATTTTCGCAAAGTGATCGAGCTTCAATCTATGCAGCCGATTTTGATTTTTGATGCTGCTGAGAGGGATGAATAATAATGATTAATTTTTTACTGGTGATGATACCACAGTTTTGCTCGGTTCTTCTTGTAAGAAAATTTATTCTTAAACTAGCGGCGATCAAATTGGAATTAGGTATCTGGACCATCCTTGTAGACACAGGTCAACGATTAGCGTTTCAATCATCCGTATTTTATTATAAAATCCGTTCTCATGATGCCGTCACATTGGGAATTTTGACAATTCTTTGAACAATCGGCGAATTCAGACGTAAAGCACGAATTCGTAGGTTGCCGAAATAATTGTATAGCAGATCTGGGAAACTGCGATGTCACTACACAATATTCAATTCACTCCTCCCAACGATAATAATCTATGCCTTGATAGAATGAGTTAAACGCGAAATGTAAATTGTCATGTTTATTCTGTGAATCAACAGTGTATTAAGAAAACAGGTGAAAAAAACAAGGCAGTGTCTATTGCGTTCAAGTCATGGACCAAACCAGGTTCTGGAACACTCATTTGACAACATCGATCATGTCAATAAGTAGCCACTCGCATAGCCAATCTCGCGTCACGGTATTCACTTCGTCGACCGTACTAGCAAAAATTCTACTCTCTCAAAACCGTGCACTAAATTAAGTCCTCTCATGAGATGCGTATTTTGAGTGAAACAAAGAAGCTCAAAGTAGTGCAAAGATGACGACAAGAAAAAAAGCAGTCTGTTACTTTTGGAACACTCATATTAATTGCTTCTTATGGACATGCACCATTGTGAATCTAAGGTCCATTGATACGTTGTTTTATGAATTCCTTCTGGTTTGATGTAACAAATATGTTGCTGAATCACTCCATTCATTAAACTGAAAAGTGATCCCTTGATCACCAAAATGGTCAATATCTCGCAAACCTTACTTATTATTCGGTGATTATAATTATTGAACCACTGTTTAGCTATATTAGCAATCATTTGTTCTAGCACGATAATTAGAGCATATTACTACCGCTGTTTTCAAACGGTTTAATTATTCAAGCTTGTTGTTGGAAGAAATGGGCAAATGTTAGAGCGCTTGAAATTGATCGACTACTCTTTGTGTGTTAACAGAGTGGATATTGATCTATCTCCTGCATGAGCAATTCTCGTAAAAAAATATTTCCCTGCTATTATTTCTTCGACATTAACACTCGTCAAAGCCAAGTAAACTGCTCCATTCAAACTTCATTCATATGCCCATCAGTGAGACAAGTATGCTCGTTATATTCTACTGGACCAGAGATCGTCCAGCTATTCTTGTCGGTGCACATTGATTAGCCGAACTACAACAGTCATTGTCCATAGCAACCCGGAATACAGCCGCTGCTTACCGATCACTTGGTTTTTCAACTTCATGAGGTTATTTTCATTTGGCATATTATTGTCAAATGTCTTCTTCCCTCATCCGTAGCTTAAGAATCTAGGCCTCAACACATTTAGAAATTCATAAAGTTCATCTCGCAATGTCCCACTTTTTATAAAGCCACAGCACCACGGATGATTTTCATGGGATTTTTACCAAACCTTAGCGAATTAGAATTTGTCAGTTGACCATAAACTACATATTCCAATACTAACTGATTAATTCAGACACTTCCACAACCCACTTGGTGTAAAAATTGGTTCAGTTCATCGCAAACTACCTTGATCCCAAACGAGTGATCCGTATAAGATTATTTATTTCGTCAGTATATGATACCAGGAATACGTAAGCACTAATTAAAAAACGATACATAACCAATCGATGAAGGTCGATTCTGCAATTTTAATCACATCGCTAGTACTGAGCGTTCGTTCAAAATAAGTGGCACATCAGGAGAAGCTCCCAGCTGCATTAAATATAAGCACTACATTATGTCGCATAATCATGAGTCGCAGATTTCCTAAGCGAAGCAACACGATATCGTTCAAGAACTGTGGAACAACCTGAAATATTCTTCCAGGGCCAAAATAAAGCAGCTTAAAATTCAACTGATTCGTTAAATAGTGCAGAAACCGCACGTTTTCGCACAGTGTGCTTCGAGATGCTTCTTAAGATTCCTGCTGTCACAGAAATATACGAAATCGTCACACACGGAATAATCCATGCAAATTTGATAACTTGTGGTGTGGATGGTGGACAT